AGAAGTGCCAACTGGCCAAAAACAACATGTACATGTATTATATTGAACTGTCACATGCAAGTCTATTTCAGGCGATAGTGCTCAGACTGGTTTAAATCACAAGATCTTGGCTCCTGTCCTAATACTATTCATGATTATTATTAATGAACATGCTGCAAAGACAATCCCTGCATCAATAAAGTGGATTTGCATGGAGAACTTGAGGAATTAAGTGGAAATTTAGTCATCATTTGCATGTCTGTGTTACGTTTATTGTTTTTGTGCCCTATTTCATAGATTTTATGGAAAATTAGGCATTATATATATAAAGTATTGCAGTTTTGACTCTGATATGAACCAAATTTAGGTATATTGTATAAACACATCAGTGGATGCTATCCAAATGTGGTAAAGACATGGCAAATGCTGTGACCTTCACCTTTAAGCTACAGATGTGGCTCTTGCCTGCTAAAATGTACCAATGTATTTTGAAAGCAGAATTAAAGTTATGGAATGAACACAAACTCAACTGTACTTAGAATTATCATAACGTTCAGCTCTCTTCTGTGACTTTTACCTTTGAGCTAGGGACCTGGGTCTTTCATGATACACATTGTCGACTTATGAAAAAAGGGAGTGGACACAATGTATGTACTTTTGGAAGACACATACTAAACAGCACACACTCACACACACCACTATGACAGAGGCATAAAAACATGAGAAATTTAGCTCAATCTTCAGAAAAGCAATGAAATGCTTGGAGCAAATACAAGTGACATTCCTGATTTATATGGTCAATAAGTGCCTATATATCATTATGTCAATTTTAGAATGTTTAGTAGTGATTTACTCTGGTGAAACTATGTTTTCACAGATAGAGAGGCCAATGTGATTTGTTTTTAACATGCTGGAGTTAAACAAGTGATATTGAAACAAACAAGTTTATCATTTTATAGTTTTCAGATCATAAAAGTCATTGAGACAAAATTTTGTTTATTATACATGTATATTATAAGATCTCACTATTTATTAAAGGAAGAATGTAAATAAAACTATTCAGGTTGTATAAGTTAAGTTTAGCATGTCACTGTCATGATTGCAGGGTCAGGATCCAAATGTGCCTTAATTAATAAAGACACTCATTTGATATATCAATGGTCACCAGTGTGATATAATAGTACCTGATGGGTTGTATGTTAATTATATAATCTGTCAACTCATTGAAGCTTATGATGCTTAGCTTTGCTTGCTACATAATATGGTTTCACCTGACTCACATGCCAGTCTGGTCACAGCTTTAGGTTTGAATCCCAAGGACATGTTCAACTTTTTAATGCCATCACTTAAATCAAGTGAGAGCATAATGTGACGGGGTTTGTCAGATTAGGCTTGTAAGTCTTCTTAAAATGGCTGATCAATATTGAGAAGGAATAACCTGTAGTCTATGTTGCTTGCTTTATTGCACATAACCACTAAATGACATCCATTTATTTTGAGGTCAGTAGGTCAAAAGTCAAGGTCACTATGGGATTGACCATTAAACTGTATCTGACCAAAAGTAAGGGGTTTCCTTCGCCTACAGTCCTAAGATTTGGTTTCAAGGTTGTTCATGACTTAAATAGAAGAGCCCAATTTAGTTTTTGGGTCAGTAGGTTAAAGGTCACCTGAAGGGCTTGACCACTAAAAGCTTGTCAGACCAATAACTAGAAAATGCTTTGGCCTTCAGTCCTTAGATTTGGTGTTGAGGTTGGTCTTAACTAATATAATATCCCTATTGATATTGAGGTTATAAGGTCATGCTGTAGGTCAAGGTTGCAGTGACACTTATAATGTGTAAAACTCTTGTCTTATCAATTATTGTAAGGCACTTAAAAATAAACTTAATAGGGATGTCCGGTATTTGCCATGGCCATTGGATGGTGCTGCAGCTTATTGATTAAATTATCATTGGGTCAAAGATTAATGTAGCAGTTTGTGTAAATTCCTTGTCACATGATCTATAACTTGAGAGGAATAATACATTGTAGTGACATTGTACATGACCTGTAGGAGACCCCTATTGATTTTTGGGTTCATGAGGCCAGTGTTACAGTGACATATGAAATACTCCTAGATTTGTGAAACTTCATAATTATAATGCTATTATTATATACAGTATATTACTTATAAATGTACCATTTGTTGATTGAAATAGTATAAATAATTATGTAAGTATGTAAATATGCCATTACGACAACTGTAAATGCAGTGGGGGAGGGGGGCTTAATGAGGACACATTTCTCGTTTTTTATGTGAAAAAGCTTTCTAGAAAAAAATTTCAAAATGTTAAATAGACAAAATTTTATATGTATTTAAAGGTTATAGATTTCCTTCAGAAATAGAAATGACTCTACATTATTTGTGACCTTAAAAATCCCATAAATCATTTCTTTATCTAAATTATAAAAAACGATAAATTCATCTAAATCTTGCAATCATTTGATGGCCATCTGATGGGAATGTAATTATGGACGAAAAAGAATGACAGTGTCCTGGAAAACATTTCCGGAAAACTTGTTGCTTCGTGTTTGTAACCGAGATTGATTGTTAGTTACCAAGATGTATTGTTACTAAGATTGATTTTGACCGTCTGCTGTAGTATAATGACCATTAATGTCCGGGACAGACTGTGCCTCCAAAGGTTATTATGCTCAATATATCTTATGGCGTGTGGTCAGCCAATATAATAATCGCTGGCATTCTCCAAATATGCAAGATAAATATTCGTTATGGGTGTTCAAAAATCCTATTAAAATGATTTTCCTTCCTTTGAGATATTTTGTATAAGTATACAAATATTTCCTAAGAATAAGATTTGCTTTAATTGGATGGGTTCGTGGAAAAATTCTCTCCTATACTTTTGTTAAAAATGATTTGCTTTTTCCTTTACCAGCTTGAAGAATTGTACAAGTACATTACAGCAAAATTTTATAATTTCTTTTAAAGTTAGTAAGATTTATGCTCTTTATTAATCAAAAAATGTGAAAATAAATATGGTTACAATACAAAATTATGCTTTTGGCTGATGATTCAATTCTTGCTCCAAATAATTTTTAGAAATGTTGCTTTATTCAGTTTAGGCAACACAGGCAATTAGAAGAGATTTACAATGTACAGTTGAAGCTAAGTATTCTTTCAGAGTCTTTTAGAGTTGCAGAACTAAGATTTACTGCAGCAGTTAGTAATCCTTTAAGAGGGTTAAAGTCTTGACCTGCAACATAAAGCTAAATATAGTTACAAATAGCAAAATTACTTATGGGCAATTACCAATAGCTTAAGCACCATTAATTTGAATTTTATAGAAAATGTTGGTTTATTGCATTGATGAATAAAACAGTAACTAATGAATTGATTTTCAATTAATCAAATAGAATTGTCTCAGCACATGCTACAAGTTCAACAGTGACAACATTCAGAAATAGAAAGTTGGCTTTTGTCATGACGGTAACTTAATACCTTAATATAATACCACATGAATACCAGACATCCCCTAGTGACATTGCATAACAGTTGAAAGTTTCATCTTGTGTTGTTTTTTTTTTCTCTCAAAACAGAATGAGATGGGATATTGATAAATAATTTATGTTACACCAGACTAATATAAAGGTTCTATTGATTATCAAGATAAAAAAAATAAACTTAATGTTAACCTATTCTCTAGAATGAAATAATCTTATACACCAGACACTGTCAATTTAGAAGCGATGAAATTATCCAAATGTGTCTTTCTTGAGTAGGCTGATTATTTATTGTCCATAGTCAGCAGTTTTAGTCAGTGTTTCTTGTGGAGAAAGTACATTTACATGTCTGCATTGTCTTTTGTTTCGGCTGACTATTTTTAGTTCCGACTTTATAGTTCTTTATAATTTACAGTCCTGTTCCTTATTTGATTGTTGGGCTTTATCATTATTATGGACACAACTTTGACAATTGCCCTATTTTATTTTGTCTTCATTTATATTCATCGTATGTTTTCTTCCAAATATTGGCATATGAAATGCATTTTCTCTTTTCAATATCAAAGATCAGAAATATATTGAAATTGACAATAAAGGGACTCTGAAACAAATTCACCGGATCATTTAGGAGTAGAAAGAAAAGGTAGTTCGCAGCTTCTATTTTCAGACAGATTTTATCTTTATGTTCACATACATTGTATGTGAATACTTTTAGCAAACATTACAGTATATGAAAACCAGACTGAAAATTTTACTGGTCTCCTGGTATATATTAACAAGAAGTCTCCCAAAGCATTGTGGGCCGAGAAAATTTCGGAATGATTTGCAGCCACAGTATATCATGTTTTATTGTTGTTAATATGTTCTCCAATATTTGCTCAATTAATTCTTATTGATTGTAAGGAGCCAGCGAGATGGAAATATAGTCTGACAAAGCTGTTGAAGAACTAAAGGCATGTTTTGGGGAAAGGGATAAGTTTCTCAATGTACTCTTGAGGGAGGGATAGAAATTCCTGTAAAATCAATAGCCCCATCATTTTGACTTGTATTGAGAAGCAACTTGTTGGTTATGGATCCTTTACCATATGGTATCTATGGAGAATACATTTCTGTATTTTGAATCAATTTCAATTTGTATCAAAATGATACATGAGATAGTGAGTTTGTCTTTAATGGGGAGTGAGGGAGTATTCTGTATCCTGTTTCTGTTAATTGCTGCTTAAAGCTACTCCTTTTATTTCAGGAGCAAGGAAAATGTTTAACTGGTTTTTTTGTTTTTGTTTTTTTTACAGAACTTAAGGACCCTGTCATCCCTCACACCTGGATAATTGCATTGCAGTTCCTTATATACTCAGATGTTTAAATTGGCTGCTTGTATATAGTGGTGGTATTCTGGCTGCAAGATCTTGAAAGACTAATGTGATAGATGTATATTACTGAATGAGTAATATTACCTCCTTTTTACTTACATTTGAGTAATTATTACATTATTTAATGAGAATGTTTTGTTTATATTTTCAGGTGAAGAAGTTTGAGGAAGAGAGGAAGAAAGATGAGCCCCCTCATTCTACAGTAAGTAGACTAGTATATGCATGCTGATACAATGTTACTCTCTGACCCATTTAACTATATATGTAACTGCTTAGGGGGGATAGGGGCCATATAAATTTGCCGTTGTCCATCTGTCCTGCTGTCATCCTCTACTTAGGTGGGGGCAAATAGATTTGCCGATGTTTGTCTTATCCTGCTGTTTAAATGTCAAGCTCATGTCGGTAGAATAGGCGGGCTTACGAGACTTTAAACATTTCTAGTTTTAGCTGAGGTTCCAATACTTATGTCTCTGAAATATATATTTCTATGGTTTATCATCAGTGGCTTTTCGTCATTAAATTCTAATATCATATAATTGCATGCATAATTTCAATGATTCAAGTATTATATATGCATGCATAATTTCAAATAAGTAAATGGAATGCAAGCATAAAATATTATATGTTCACTGGTCTTTTAAATTGATAAAGTGTAATACAAATTAAATTTTGAGTGACACTACAAAATATGTGCCAGAAACCTAAACGTGTCACAATACACCAAGGGAAATAAATCATACAAATATAACCTTATTGCACTTATATATAAAATGCCTTTATCTGTAATATGTAGAAATATTCTTCAGAAAATTGAATGTAATTATATATACAAGAAATGAAGGGACAAAAAAAACCCAGATACAGACTATATCTGAATTATTATATCAGTAATCAACAAAACATTAGAGAATACCCTTAAGATAAAAATCTCATTTCAAGAATCTTCAAAGCCAACAGATAGATTATTTCCGATATTCAATTATAAAAATAATCTGCATAAGTAATGAGCTCCTTCAAAGAACGAAAAAACTCTGAATTATGTTAAGAATGGAAATGGCAAGATTATTTTGATAGCATTTCTTTAAACATGTCATTTTACTGTCCAGATTACTTGAAAAGGAAGGACATATCAGTTAATTATAGAAATTAGGTGTAATCTTAAATAGAATGTTGATCTTAAGGGGTATAGTTAATGCATATTTAATTAAACCATATTTCTTTTTCACATTGATAATTTTAATTAAGTTTAAAAAATTGAAAAGAAACAGCTTTCTGCGTAATAATCAGATGTCAGTTCATTATTTCTTAATATAATAGCGTTTACTCAATTTTTCACCACACTTTAAAGGCATATTTATACACTGTAGTTTGTTGAGAATTGAAAATAATAAGGTCATAAACCAGTCATAAATTTCCAATCTGTGATTGTTTAATTTCAAATTCTTTAAATTATAGATCAGCTAATCAAAATGCTTTTATATATCTGACACTTAGTCTACAAGTAAATTTGTTTCTTCAAGTTTTTATAGAGTTTTTTCTTACACATTCTAATAGACCAAAAAGTATATATAATTATGTTTTGCTTCAGATGTTACAATATTTTGTGTCAGCTCATTAAAATAAAGATTATATGAACCATCAAACCACCTGTTAACACTTGTTATAAATGCATGTTTTAATGAGTGTGTCATTGAAAATGTAAAAGATATGTTTGAAATGATAGTTAGTAATTTTTTCTCATGATGGAGGTATTAACAGCAGCTGATGGAAATTTGTAATGAAAATGTATGTTTATATCTTCATTACTTGCTCATGATGTACCCTTTTCTAAAAACAGGGTAAACATTATTTAGAAATTAGTTTGTCCAGACTTTGGCATGGGCTAATTGTTGGTTAAAGCCATTTTTCATTTAATTGTTTATATAATTTTAGATGACTTTGGTTTGAGGTTACCATATTCTGTCTTCTTTCATGCGAGGAAGAATATTTTCCAACTCTTGCTCAATATAAAGCTTGATAATTTACCATTTATGTATTTAGTGTGCCATTTGATGGCCATTCAGATGTCCTTGATTATTTTAGGGCTCAAATTCAGGTCATTAAGTCGTAATTAAGCTCATGCAGTTACAAATCAGTTTGCTATAAGAAAGTCTTTATCATTTGGTTTGAAACCTTGATTATTTCCCAGATTGTCTCCCCTGGCAATCCGAGCAACACACGCCAAAAAAAGTGTACTAACCGGGTATTATCATAAACCAACGAGGCTCTGTTTAATCCTTGAACTAGTTCCAACTACATGGCATGCGGTCTGTATTTTAATCATGTAAAACAAATTAAACTTTAAAAGTCTAGCTAACCAGATGATAAAAAAGTAAAGCTATACAAACAGGTGAAGAGACATCAATGTATATTTGTATAACACAAGATGAAAAAAAAACATCTACAGGTGTTTTTAATGAACTTTCAGGAATGAAAAAAAAATCTGTAAATGTAAGGAAATAGTCTGTAATTATGTAATCTGAAAGAGGTTAGTATATTTTTTTCTTGATAGTTTGGCCAAAACAGCTGCTTTGGACTGATATTTTTTCCATCTATATAAAATTAAACACATAAAATAATATTCTATCAAACACCAGGGGCATTTAGTTTGAGAGTTCTACTAGTTCATTTTGATAATCTACATGTTTTAGTGCTCTGAGACCTACATTGGTTTTTGTGGCAAATTATCTTAATACATATACTTTCTTTATTTTAATTGTTTTAAATTTAACAACACTTTTAAGTCTTAGTAAAATGTCTACAAATTAATTTTAGCATCTGAAAGTAATTCTCTTTAGAACTTTGTTATTACATCATGTAAGCCCTGTGATAGTTATAACAAAAACAACATTTTGGCAAAATTTATGTAAACTATAAAACTTGTTTATGGATTATAAAAATCAAGAGATTTTAAATAAAGTAGATAGTTTCACGCCCAATCTGACATTAGATTATGTTAAATGTATGTTTTTTGTGTATCTTTATGTTTTCATACCTTGTTAAAGGTTCTACTTCAAACTTAATTACCTTTACTAATGGTCTTCAAAAAAGATAAACATTATAGTTTATAATTTGTAATAAATACCCCATCAGCTCCAATGATGTGTATGGCTTAATTTGCCTCTTTATGCTGGATGTTTGATGTCTTCGTCTTTCTAATGACTTGAGTTCCTTGTCCATAATAGATTGTGTCCAATCTCCCAAACATTTTTATGTAACAAGCTTTTTATGCTCCCCGAAAAATTTAGGGGGAGCATATAGTCGGCGCCTTGTCCGTCTGTCCGTCCGTCCGCACTCACAGGACAGTAATTATGTGGCTAGAGGGACAATAGGTAACTGTTCTTTCTCTTTGATGTCATTCATTCCGTAATGCTTTTATGTGGCTATTTTCTTTTGTGTGGCTAAAAAGAACAATAGGGAGAACAATAGAGTAGCCACATTATTACTCTCCTATTAGAACGTCCGTCTGTCTGTCCGTTTTCTTGTCTGGAGCATAACTTGAAAACCCTTGGAGATAATTTGTTTAAACTTCATACAGTGGTAGAGGGCATTGAGGGGGAGTGCAGTGTCAAAGAACCATAACTCTATTTTGCCCGGTTTTTTAATTATCTCCCCTTAAAGAAAAATCTTGTCCGGGGCATAACTCTAAAACTATAAGAGATATCAACATGAAACTTTGTAGGTGAATAAATCTCAATGGGTAGATGTGCAGTGCATAAGAACAATAACTCTTTTTGTCCTAATTTTTGAGTTATTGCCCTTTGTTAATTTCAACACTTTGAACTTTGTCCGGAACATAACTCTAAAATTATAAGAGATATCAAGATGAAACATTGTAGGTAGATAGATCTCATTGAGTAGAAGTGCAGTGCAAAAGAACCATAACTCTGTTAAGCCTCATTTTTGAATTATCTCCCCTTATAGAAAAATCTTGTCCGGGACATAACTCTAAAACTATAAGAGATATCAACGTGAAACTTTGTAGGTGAATAGATCTCAATGATTAGATGTGCAGTGCATAAGAACAATAACTCTTTTTGTCCTAATTTTGGAGTTATTGCCCTTTGTTAATTTCAACACTTTGAACTTTGTCCGGAACATAACTCTAAAATTATAAGAGATATCAAGATGAAACATTGTAGGTAGATAGATCTCATTGAGTAGAAGTGCAGTGCAAAAGAACCATAACTCTGTTAAGCCTCATTTTTGAATTATCTCCCCTTATAGAAAAATCTTGTCCGGGACATAACTCTAAAACTATAAGAGATATCAACGTGAAACTTTGTAGGTGAATAGATCTCAATGGGTAGATGTGCAGTGCATAAGAACAATAACTCTTTTTGTCCTAATTTTGGAGTTATTGCCCTTTGTTAATTTAAACACTGAACTTTGTCCGGAACATAACTCTAAAATTATAAGAGATATCAAGATGAAACATTGTAGGCAGATATATCTCATTGAATAGAAGTGCAGTGCAAAAAAACCATAACTCTGTTAAGCCTCATTTTTTGAATTATTTCCCCTTTTAGAAAAATCTTGTACTGGACATAGCTGTAAAACTATAAGAGATATTAACATGAAACTTTGTAGGTAGATGTATCTCAATGGGTAGAAGTGCAGTGCACGAGAATCATAACTCTGCCTTGCCTAATTCTGGAGTTATTGCCCTTTGTTTATTTTTACTTTTTGAAGTTGTCCGGAACATTACTCGGAAACCATAAGAGATATCAACAAGAAACTTCGTAAGTTGATAGATAACAGTGATAAGAAGTGCAGTGCAAAGAACAGTAACTCTGCCTTTCCTAATTTTGGAATTATTGCACTTTGAACTTTTTCCAGGGACATAACTCTGAAACTACAAGAGGTGTACTTTCCTGTGTCCAAAACCTATTCGGGGAGCATCACCTGGCTCAAACCGGGCTCTTCTTTCTGCCTGATGCTACATGTACCCAAATGCCCAGTGCAGTCTTCTCTTAATGTGCCATTTCCCTTCCTACCTTTTTATGGAAGACTTGATGATTTCTATGAGGATTCTCCATGCCTAATTCTCTCTAACACCCATGTCACTTCTTTCTAATGCCTCAAGCACTATTCTTTCTAATGGAATTCCCCATGCCTTCTCCTCTCTAACACCCATGTCACTTCTTCCTAATGCCTCAAGCC